AGTCAAATCCAGGGATATAGAGATGCTTGTGTTGGCATCTTTTGAACCTTTTGACATTCAGGACAATTTTTTCCTATTCATTCTATGCCATGGCCAATCCTTGGCTACTATACATGACTCGTGGCTAGAGCTTTAATTTTAATCAATCCCGAAGTGTCCTTCTTGTAGTTACTGTATGACTGGTAATTGTAATTTATCTGAAATCACCACTGTTTCTAAAAATTAAATTTCCTTATTAAAATGAGAGTTCTTTCCTGTACATGTAATAAGCGAGTCCTCTCACCTTTCCAAAAAGTATAAACCTTTAAGAAAACTGGCTCATTTTATGTTACACTTGAGGTCTGGATGAAGGTAACATTTCCACGTGAGAGATGTAAAACACTTTTTTCTGCAGATTCAATTTTGTGTATGTTTTAGGTAATTTTAAGTGGGAGATGTGAAAAACATCTGAATTTACATGCTTCTCTGTATTTCTGTATTTTACTTGCTACAGTCTAGACAAAGATAATGCATATCACTCTAACCTAGTTGCTGTCATTGTTGTCATTCCTTTAGACAGACAAAATATGAATAACAGTAGCTTGTGACCAGTGCTCAAAGTGAAACAATGTCTGTATAAATATGAATATAACTTCTTCATTCTCTAGAGTAATGCTAATGTCTCTTTATCATTCTGAGCATAATTCGAATTTACTAATGTTAGCAAGCATGAGACAAATGATACAGGTCTGTTTGTTCCATCCTGCATAGTGTGTGTGTGTGACAGAACTGTTCCAAGCCCACATAAAGATGCATCACATTCCAGTTTAATTGGTAACCTTGGGTCATAATTGCTCAATACCTGATCTGAGCTAATCAACTTGTAACTTCCATAAATTCACTGTTCTCCTCCAACAGCTGATTGAGAGACCACACAACAGTTGCCCAATTTGGTTAGAAATGGCAGTAGTAGTTTACAAGATCTAGAAATGCCCATGATTGAGGCACATTCTCAGGTATTGGCAACATAACAGCTTCCACTTTCTCAGGTGTCTTGTGAAAGCAATTTTTATCTATCACATGGCTTCAGTATATATAACATTATCTTGGAAAATCTCACACTTGGAAAAGTTAATACGTATATTGTAATCACAAAGTCATTTCAAAATTCATCATAAATTCTACAGGTGTTCTTGATCATTCTTACTAGTGATGATTACATCATACAATTAAACACTGTGTGTGTCTGCAATTCTTTAAAGCCTTTCATTAATCATTTTTTCCAGGTTGCAGAAGTGGATGCTATCTCACATTCCAGGTAATTGTACTGGTAAAGTCCTTTCTGACATAGTTTCATCTTGAAGTTTTAGATAGGCTTGATGTAGGTTTAGCTTTTTAAACTTTTGCCCAATAGCTAGTATTGCAAAAATATCTTCAGTCCATGGTAATGGCAGTACTAGGGTGATGTTGTTTTTAAACTTGCCACAAATACGTAGTTATTCAATTGATTTTACATCTGGAACAATTGGTATAGCCCATTCATTTCATTAGAACACCCTCCTTCTCCAATATATGTAACTCAGCTTCAGCCTTAGTTTGTAAGGAATAGGGCCAATTTTTTTAAAACTCTGTTGAAATTTAGTACCTCTGTTATTCCTATTATATCCCAAAACACTTCAAGAAAGTCTGAACGTAATTGGTTCAACTATTCCTTTAAATTTGTTGAAGAACATGAAGCAATCATTGATTTTAAGGAATTTTGGTGTATTTTTATTTTCCATAGCCATTTATGATTGAATAGATTTGGACTACCTATTATTGATAACATATACTGATAACTGCTCCTTCTGTATATATATATTCCTTCTCCATATATTCCATTTATGCATCCAAGAAATATGCTGGAGAATAAGATTTCAGAAGAACTGCAGTCTTCTTCAGTTGCATTCCTGAGAATACTTTATAAAACTCCTGCTTATAAATTAATGACAAGGCTAAACCAGTGTCCAGTTTTATCATTAATAGTTCCCATTAATGGTAAGGATGTTCTAAATACTTCTTAAGTTACTTTGTTGTTTTATAAAGTTTAGTTGAAGACTGGCTACATATAAATGTTTTCCCCTCATCATAAATATATGTTGTACGATTTCCCAACTTATTTTTTTATTGACAGGTTGGCTGAATATGTTCGACAGATCCTTTAAATCTGCATTCATCTGGCCTATGGTGTGGTTTTATAAAACTGAATCCTGTTTTCAGATTTATTGAATTTGATTTTCTACTATTTTTGAATCTTGTTTACCCTTGGATTTCATATGTTATTTCTATATTATTTGTCCTTGTAATTCAACAGTACCTTTAGCTAGTTTTCCATAACAGTTTCAGTTTCAACAGCTCTTCCATATAAGTGTCCTACCTGTTTATTTCAAATATCACACACAAGCTTTTCCCTCAATGAGTCATTCAATATCTTACCAAAATCACAATATTCAGACAATTTCCTAAGTTGTGCTATACAATCAGTGATACTTTCAACTTATTTTTGATCTATGTTTATGAAATCTAAATCATTATGCAATTACTGATGCCTTGGGCAATAAATGTTTTGTTAATATAATATAGTATGCAGGCATACCATATGCTTTCTACTTTTTTATTACTACTATTTTATTCTACTATTTTATTAATATAGGAATTTTCAGAGTTTTTCATGTAGTTTATTTTTCTTTAGTTTTCATATAAACACATGGTTCAGAAAACAATTTTGTTGTATTAATTTTAATTACCTTTGATGTTTCCTAGCAGATAGTATCTACTTTACCCAAAGAAATATTGCTGCAACTTTTCACTTTGTATAGAAACAGCTTTATGGCAGCAATGTGTCTTTCACTGGCTGAGTAATCAATACCTAGATGTTACAGTCTTAATTTGTGTCTTGACTTCAAACCATTCATGTGGTATTGTAGGTAATTGTGAAAAAATAAATACAGAATGTATGAAATCCTACTAGCAAGCTAGAATTACTTCAAGTTAATTCTCTTGCAATCATTCAATCCCATCCTCATCAACAGTGCTGCATATTTTGCTTTGCTTTTTTTTTATTACACATTAATCATAATGCACCAAGCAACACATCTAACACCAGAATGACTTTCATTACATTTATTCTAGGATTTTACTGCATACAACACACTCTTATCTAATAAACTCTTATCTAATACTTATTGTGTAGGATTTTGAGAGAACTACTGGGTTGTTTCTTGGGATGGAAGTGTTACCTTATGGGGATAAGTTAAGATCTTGTATTTTCTCTTGAGAAATGGAGGATAAGAAGTGACCTTATGGAAAATTATACTATTCTCCAGAGGATTGATAGGATAAAAGTCTCTGATTTCTTTCTGCACTATTCTGAAGATTACAGGAGGAAACAACATAAGTTTGTTATTGGGAAAGGACAAGCTAGGCTACAGTTTTAAAAACTTTCATGTATCTAACAGGGTGATTTCCTATAGTAGTTTGAGAAGAGGTTTAATGATTTCCTGAAAAACAAAGCTTGTGCCAGCTCTTGCAAGCTCTCCCCTTTAGCATGGACTCTTGTCCTAAACCTAGCCCTGTAGACTTCAGACTGATTTTGAGTTCCATACCTGAGTTCTAGAGCAGCTACCAGTGCTCTATAGTTGTGCCTGTCCTCTGCTGACAACTGTCCAAGTATTTCCAGTGGTCGTCCCTTCAGGCTTGTTGCCAGATATACTGCTTTCTGCTCCTCTGTTCATCCATTTATCTCTGCCAGGAGCTCAAATTGTGCTCTATATGCTTCCCACAGTGCCTTCCCTTTGAATTCCTGTGTCTTCCTTTGTACTAGATAATCCCTATTGCTGACATTCATATCTGGGATGTGACTTCTAACAGGACTGAAG